CTGAATCAATGTGAGCTCCTCTGATGTGGAAGTTATGCATAAAAAACCAGTAGATTTAGACTACAGAGCTGTGCTGTCCAAAATGGTGGTTACCAGCAACAAGTGGCTAATAATTATTTGAAATGAAATAGTCTTTAAAATTCAGTTCTCTGTGCTTAATGGTCATATGTGGCTGTACAATGGACAGCACCAATACTTAACATTGCCATCATCACAGGAAGTTCTATTGGGCAATGATGCACTAGAAGTGATAGAATTTCACAAGAACTGGAAGTCCAGAAGCCTAGATTTTTGCCACTAACTACGTAACTTTAGCAGAGCAACTTTATCTCACTATGTCTCCCCAAAGATAAAATGAAATAATGCCTTTACAACAATATTGTAGGGATCAGGTGCACTGAAATCACTTTTTCCTTCGCTTTCTTATCATCTTCCCAGGACCCCAAGATTAAATTATGCACAAAAATTCTCTAGCAAGGACCACTCTGAGTATGACTCGATAGGTACAGCTCTTTGGGAGTTCAGTATTCATAGCCATGATTTGATATTACTCCAATACACCTGTAAGTAATTAAGAATAGCATATGTCCAGAAGCACAAAGAGCTATGTACAGGCAGTTCTTGTGGTGATGGAAAGAAGCAAATTAACATAATTTAAAAGGTTTTCATTGGCAAATGGCCTTTTGCAGACTAGTCAATTTTCACAGGGTTTAAAATGCAAAGGTCAAAGATCATATTTCCTATTTATTCATGTTTCACTTTAATGCCTAAATCTGCCTTTCTCAGGTTTGGAAACAATCATCTGTGCTGTCATTTTGAGGGTAATATATATAGAGAAGGCGTTGGCAAGCTTTTTCTGTGAAGGGCCAACAAGTAAATATTCTAGGGCCAGAAAATTTCTATCACAACTACTTAACTCTGCTAGTGTAGCATGAAAGCAATCATAGACAAAATGCAAATAAATGGCATGGCTGTGTGTCAATAAAACTTTATTTACTAAATAGTCCCTCGGCCTTTAATTTGCCAACTCCAGATCTAGAAGGATATGGAAGAACATAGTCTTTCTTGCTCTTCCTCCCACTGTTTTTTTCTTTTAACCACTATTATATGATTTTTCATTTATTTTAATTATTTGAACATATATTGCATCCTGCAAATAATCAGATTTTTAAATATTTAATTTAGAAATGTCAAAACATAATTTTTCCTCTCATTTTATTAAAACCTTGAATAAAAATAAAATAATTCTTTAGGATGATAATCTTTTTTCTTGCCGAAAGCAACTGAGAGGGATGGACATAGCATATAAACTCTAAAATAACTAACTAAAAGTGATTCACAGATCCAGTCAGGTCATTTAAAATTTCCTGGCTATTTTACTAATTCATGAGTTGAATTACAACTTAAATAGAAAACTAAAATTGAGCAAAGTGCCTCAATGCCATTACTTCTTATGTGGACATTACTGTTCAATACAAATAAATCAAAGTCAAATATTTAGATGACTCAAGCAGCATCTATTCAAAAAACCTGGTAACCTGTATGCATGGGTAAGAATGGGCTCCAAAGAAATGGTGAGAAATTAATAGAATAAAATCATGACATTTCAGAGTTGGAACAGTCGTTACAGAACAATTGGTTCAACATCATTGCTCTATGGTTGATGACTGTGGTTATCATCTCTTAGTTTTCTTTTCCAGAAAACACTGCTTCTTCTTACTGGATACCCAATTTCCTTATGGAATTACCCCTCCATTTCTTACTCTCAGCTCTGGTAGTTTGGGTGAGGGTGGTCTCGTTCTCAGGCCAACAAGTAGGTATTTAACCCAGTCTGGACTCATCAGAGCCCTGTAAACTCCTGGCCAGAGGACTGGTTCAGGGATAGGTTCCTGACCTAAAGTTGATCATCTCAATTCTGGAATGTGTCTTTGAATTACCAGGAGAGAACCAACCTCGCCCTCCTCCCTTCTCTTCCTTCCTTCCTTCCTCCCTCCCTCCCTTCTCCCTCTCCCTCCCACCCTCCCTTTCTTCCATCCTTTACTCTTTCTTGCCCCCTGCCCCACTCCTTCTCCCTTAGGGATGCTAAGCTTGAGAATATGTACCTGGCATGGCCAGCAGCCATTTTGCCATCTTGTGGAAATGGGCTGCCTGAGAATGAAACCAACACAGAGACAAGCTGCTATGAGATGCAGAGTTCACGTTCTGAGGCTCTGAGTTTCCAGATCTAGCCTTAACTGTAACCAAAAACATCTGCCTTTTGTAATTACAAGAACAAATTGTAATTACATAATTACTATTTCTTTTTTTTTTAAAGAAAGCTTTTTTCTTAAGCTTGAGTTGCTTTGTGCCACTACAAGAGAATCTATACAAATATGAGAGATTATTCAACCCAAAGAAGTGAATGTTGGTAAGTGAAAGGGTCAGGACTTTAATCTCCTCTAAATCTGATGCTGGTTCTAGGAGAAAGACATGGTAGACTAGCAAATCCATTAAAATCTTATGTGCAAAGCAGTTTGGGTAAAAAAGTGTGTACTACTTTTCAAGCTTCTTGGATACTGAGTACTGTGTTTAGACTGCCAACCTCCTTTCGTGGATATTCTTGCTTAGGATAGGGCCAAGTTTAACAAAAACTAATCAAATTTAAAGGAAATTATTTTTCACCCTTATATATAGTACAGCTGAGACAAAGACTCGAAGGGGATGCCAGAAGGTCAGAAAAATGTAGGGCACCCTGGAGGAGGTCATGTATGGACTTCAGATCCACAACCAACACCAAGTGCCCTTTCTTCTACTCTGTACTCAGTATACCTGTGGCTACACACACACCAGAAATTCATTCCATAAAAATTTATGGAAGCTATACTGTGCTGAGCAACAGGGATACTATGCAAGCAACATAAACTCAATACGCTGAGCTTCCTAGAAAATAAAGCTTCCCACTTATTTGAAAATAAAGGGCTATTTGCTTGTTATTAACCCTGTTATAAAATAATCACATGAATGATTTAATTTCTTTATCCCCTCCTCCAAACTGTATTGATTAGAAACATCAATATGTATAGCCACGTGAACACAAGCTTTTACAAAGGGCAAGAGTCAAATATGTAGTTTTTGTCTAAATGACAGAGTATACATTATTTCTTTTACAATACTAACTAGTTAATCTATCAAAAACCAAAACACACTTAAAAAGACACTGTTAATATTTTTCATGCATTGCATAATAATTAAGAAAGAACATAAGATTGGTCTATCAAATGAGCTCTTTCTCCATGGCAAATATGGATCTATAAAATAATGACTTTTAAACTTTTGTCCAGGGCTTCCCTGGTGGCGCAGTGGTTGAGAGTCCGCCTGCCAGCGCAGGGGACACGGGTTCGTGCCCCGGTCCAGGAGGATCCCACATGCCATGGAGCGGCTGGGCCCGTGAGCCATGGCCGCTGAGCCTGCGCGTCTGGCGCCTGTGCTCCGCATCGGGAGAGGCCACAACAGTGAGAGGACCGCGTACCGCAAAAAAAAAAAAAACACTTTTGTCCCGATACGAAATTTATGAGAACAATGTAAAAACTGGTAAAAAAAAAAAAAAAAAAAAGACCAACAAAAAGGTTTGGTATGTGACACATTTGCACATTGAGAAGGAAACTGTTAATGTTGGCACCTGAGCCTCATATATGGGAGGAGGTTACGTCTGTATATTTCCTTATGCAAACTGAGGTCACATTTTAACCTATTAGACATCTGTGGCACTTACCTGGGCTTCTGGTGTGTATATAATGTTCATTCTTTCATTAAATAATCTCTTAACAGATATGGTTGCTGATAAAGTTGAGTAGAACTGGAATAATCCTGGGACAACCCAAATTTTCTAACTTTGGAGATATGCCTAAGACACTAAGGCTAGTGTCTTAGTAAAAGAAAAAAAATGTTTGAGGAATCAACTTGATTAAAATAAGAAACACAGATATTAGAGTTTACAAAACAGAGGATTTTATTTGAATTTCTGTACAGATAAAAATTTACCAAAATTTAAACAAAAACCTAAATCACATTCCCACCATAAAAATGGACACTGCAAAAAAGCCACATTCTCCCAATTACATTTTCCCAGGTGGTAGATTCTGAGGGAAAATGGGAGGGAAGAGAAGACAGAGACACTCACAGCGTAATTTAATTTTCAGTGTTGTCTCATCTTGAAATGAGAGTCAGAGATTTCCATAAGAATCAACCTTCTTCAGTTTTGATATTAAAAGGGAAACTTCTACTCCAAAATCACAAATAAGGCTTCTGGTTTTATTTTTAGTGGGAGGTAAACAGTATATTCAATATTAAGGCAAATGGTAGGATACATGTATGGGGTACTGACTGCAGATCTTTCATTGTAAAATATATTTTGTAATATTTATGGATTTTCTAAACATGTTGGAGTTGGAAATTGTAAAAACTGTTGCAGTTTATAACACCTATCTGTTTCAATGTCTTAGCTGCACCTTTCGGTGGTAAAACTGTTCAATGTAATCTTGTCTGATTTTTTTTTTACAGCCTGTGATTTTTGGTTTTTTGTTTTTTTTTTAATTACACAGGACGAAATGTTCACCAAAATTGTTGTAAATGAACAATTTCTGGTATGCAATATCTGGTATGCAAGATGCTAATCTTGCATACCAGATATAATGCAGGGCCTGATCTCACATGCACACTGGTTGGCCACATAGACTGCTCCCCAGAGCTGGCAAAATAATGCCTACCGAGCTAGCTCACCATGACAGGGAAGTATTAGAATGCAGGGCATTAATTTAATGAAGACTATAAGGGAAATCACATTATTTAGGCTGTCTAGATAGTCAAGAAAATACAGATTGGAGTTTTTTATACAGTGATTCTTGCTCCTTCCTTCTCCGCTTTTTCCCCAGTGGGATAACCATTTTCTTCACAGTGATGAGAAAACCATTACTTTTTATGGGTAAATGCACTTCTTCTTCCAAGGGATCAGGACAAAGACATCACTTCTCAGCCACGCTGGCCACAGCTTTCTTGGCTGCATCCTCCAGGTCGGCGGCCGAAGTAATGGGGAGTCCGCTGTTACTGAGAATGTTCTGGGCCTCATGGACATTGGTTCCTGGAAGGGGGTGGGGGGACGGTGTACAGTCACTGAGATGGAACTGGAGGTGGTGCCCCAGGAAGTTTCGTACAATCTGAAATCATGGGATGCCCGAGTCTCCTAACACCATTTAATTACAACTCAGTTCAGCTTTTTATGATCCAGATCTGGCTATTTAGATATATCCAGATGACAAACTTATTTTCTTCCTCTTTTCACCTCAAATGCCTGGCATTAAAAAAGATACTGCCTGTATTTTCTCTGGAATTAAAAAAAATGGAAATATGAGGTTCTTAGAAGACTGTGAACAAAGAAAGATTAACAACACCTTGTTCAACTAGTTTGAAAGAGAAAATATTCTGCAATGGATTTATCCCTTGATTGAATAGTCTGAATACGGAATCTAAAGAAAAAGTTATGTACAAAAAATGAGCAAGAGAATGGTAAATCAAGGCGTTGGGATGGTATGGAGTACTGGCAGTAATACATGAGGATGCTCAGGACTAATCTCTCTGTGGCCTTTCACCAGGAAGTAAATTAAATTCAGGTTCTAATCAATGTCATTGACGGGAAAGATGATGTGACAAGATCTGTATCAAGTGATGGTCCAGCTAGAAAAAAAGATGAAAGATAGGACTTGCAAGAGGCTAATGGACATTTTTTACTGATAGAAGCTGAAATTTCTGCTGATAATCCACACTCAAGTGGACTTAATATGGTTCTGGCCCATTCCAGAAGCCTTTTGTCTTAATGATCTCTTGAAACGAAGGGTCTGAGTTGTGACCCAATCTGAGATCTGAAGTTCAGAGAATCTGCCCACCTAAGGCCATGAATCCACTGCTTGGAGACAATGACAGTATTCAATGTGTCCATCTATGCTTCTTCCTCACTCCGTATAACAAAAAGGTCAGATGCCATGAAAATGAACATTGTAGCCTCTGATGTCTCTTGGCCATTCCTTGTGGATCTGTAGCATTTGCGGGCCAAGCTACCCTACCCAAATGTGTTCTTCGATGACTATTTAACATGCGAAATGTTTTTCTCTTCTTTCAGTGTGAACAAGCCCCTGGGAGAAATGTGATAAAATTTAAGTGTCTTAATGAAACATCTCATCTTACATCATCTCCCGTGCTTTCATGTAGTTAGCAAGACAGAGCCTACTTATAAACAAAGACCTTGAAATATAGGCCTTGGAGGACCTCAGAGTATAAATTAAAAGGAGGTGCTTGGTCAGCATGTTTCATACAAAAAGGCAAAGGCCAAGTTAAGGAGGAGCAGATGAGCTGAGAAGGTGGTGCAGTGTTGATTTTCCCGGGACCCTGGGTCCACCAGAGCCATGGTGAAGGGGACACTGGGCACTGTGTCTTCGGGTCAAGGCTGACTCACTGCAACTTTACACAGGAATCTGACCAATGGCCTCTAGGGCAAGCAAGAACTTGAAAGGTAGGGAAGTTGTTACCGAAAATTCCCAGTCACCAGTCCTGGCTGGCCACTCTATTAGTTGCATAATCTTGGGTAAATCATTTAACTCCTTTGTGCCTCAACTTCTTTATCTCCAGACATAACATTGTGATCATCTTCCTCATAACTAGTACTGATTAAGCACTTGCATACCAGTGCAATGCTAATCTTGCATACCAGATATAATGCTAAGTGACTTACATGGGGCATATGAAAACTTTACAATGACTATGAATAAATCCCATTGTCCCTGTTTCACAGATGAGATAACTGAGGCACAGAGAGGTTCATAGGGGAACTTCTCCATAGTCACACAGGTTGTAAGAGGCAGAGATGGTACTTGAATCCTGTTCTCTTTAATTATGTTCTAACGACATGCTGGTCTGTTTCCCTGTCTTTAAAATGAGGTAATAATGCTGGTAGCACAGGTTGCCATGAGAAGCAAATGAAATAATACACCTGAAAGCATTTTGTAAAAGGCAAAGTCTCTGTGGCAGTCATGGTTGGCTGTCTTCCAAAGATCCATGCTCCTCTGCTACGGGGTGGGGAGAGCTACTGCTGGGAAGTGGCTGCCCAAACAGGAACTGCGTTTCCCGGGTCCCCTCGCAGACGGGAGGCTCATGTGACTGAGTTCTGGCCAATACACTGTGAGCAGAAATGAAAAACATGCCCATAACATCTCCACTGGTACTCTCTATATTCTCTCTCTCTTGGTTTTCCTTCTCTGTCTTCTGGAATGCTGTCAGCTAAGACAACCTTGGAAGACACTTGTTTCAGATGACAATGACTCCCTCAGCCCGGATGCTTGAGTAACCCTGTAGAGCAGAGCACCTGGCTCACTCACTGTCTCCGACTTTATATGAATGAGAAAGAAACTTCTAGTATGTTGCCTCTTACATTTCAGCACATGCCTGTTGTTACAGGAGTGAGCATTACTTTAGCTAACATACTACTTTGTAAGGGTGGGAGGCAGCTTCTAAAATGGCTCTCAAATGATTGATCCCGACTTCTTGGTGCTCACGCCCCTTGAGTGTGGGCTGGAGCCAGTGACCTGCCTCTAATGAACAAAAATATAGCAAAAGTAATGGAAGGTCACTTCTGAGACAAAGTCCACTTTCTGTGTGTTCACTCTGACGAAGCCAACTTCCACGCTGTGAGCGATGGGCTGCCCTATGGAGAAGCTCACGAGGCAAGGAACTCAGGGCAGCCTCCAGCCAAAAGCCAAGGAGGAACTGAGGCCTTCATTCCAACAACCCATTAGGAGCTGCATCCTGTCAACAACCATGTGAGTGGGGCTGGAGGTGACCCTCCCCAAGGCAGGCTGCGACAGGACCCCAGGCTGCAAGAGTGTGACTGCACTTATGACAGACCTTGAGTCAGAGGACCCATCTAAGCCAGCCCTGGATTCCCCACCACAGAAACTTCGAGATGATCAATGTTCCTTAGGTTAATCAGCTAAATTTCGGGGCAATTTGTTTCACACTGGTACTTAACTAATGCAGATATAAAGATTTATTATTATTATTATTATTATTATTTTTTTTTGCGGTACGTGGGCCTCTCACTGTTGTGGCCTCTCCCTTTGCGGAGCACAGGCTCCGGACGCGCAGGCTCAGCGGCCACGGCTCACGGGCCCAGCCACTCTGTGGCATGTGGGATCTTCCCGCACTGGGGCATGAACCCGTGTCCCCTGCATCGGCAGGCGGACTCTCAACCACTGCGCCACCAGGGAAGCCCAAAGATTTATTATTTCATTAAGAACAACCTCAGTGTGCATTTTGATTCATTTGGTAAAGCTTCAGCCAAGGTCCCAGAGGTTGAAAAGTAGGACAGAGGATCACACTGTGGGAGGAGTTGGGTACCAAGCTAAGGGATTCCAACATTAACCTGTAGGCAGCGCTTTCATGGAGTAGTGATGCAGCGTGAATCAAAGCCCTGACAGACACAGAATCGAATCAGTCTTTGCACCAGGAGGTCAATGCAAGTTAAATATGGAAATGTTCATCTCCTTCAACAGCGACAGGGACTAGTACTCACTCTCCACCTGGCCTCCAACCTGCCAGGGAAGAAATCTACGTTGAGATACAAAAGGCTCTTCTCCCTCTTCCTTTCTCAATACACAGCTCCCAAGATCCCCATGCATCACCCCAAGAGGCAGTCTCATCTGACTGAACATTCCTCACCTTCTAATCCACCTTTCCTCCACGTGATTCCTCCTGTGTACAGGTCTCACCCATGCCTGCCAAGCTCTGTCTAACTGGACTGAATTAGCTGTGCTAGTAGTAGCCATAATAAAAATAAACGCAATAATAGCAGCTATCACTTAGCACGGGTCACACATTGTTCTGGGGTTCTAAGTACACTAGCTCCTTTGTTCCTCAGTAGCAACCCTGAGAGAGCTTCTATTATTATCTTCCTTTTACAGAGGAGAGGACTGAGGCACAGATAAGTTAAAGGCTAGTCTAGCGAGCGTGGCTAGTAATAGTTAGGAAGCAGTGCAATGAGCATTCAACAAGGCTTGAAACATCCACGCTATACTTGAATAAGTCCTTCTTATGATTTTGCAAATATGTGTCATCATCATCATCATAACAAAAAGTAACAAAAAAAAAATCTCTGATTCACATTACTTTATTTGACCCTTACAAGGACTCTGTGAGTTCGATGTTTCTAAAAGAACTTGTGAATTCGGTGTTTATAAATCAGTTCTTTTTTTTTTAAGCCAAGAGCACTGAGGCTTAGTGACTGATTGGCAGGATTTGGTTTCAAAATCCTTTGCTTTTCAGACTCTATTTTGATTTCCTGGTGACTCCTGTTTGACATTTAAAACACACAGCACTTTCCCATGCATGAGATCATCTGAACCTCAATGAGGCTATAAGCTATTCAAGAACAAGGAACACATACAACTAGGATGTCTCCTCTTTCCAATCTCCCCTTCTGGCTAAACCTTCCATCCCCACTGTCCCCTGCTCTATGAGGGACCACGGGGTATTCTCTGTCCCAAGGCGGACCTCAATTATTCCCAAGACACTGACTGCACCTGATCCAAGGGTGGTCCAAACAAAGACCATGGTCATTAGCTTGTCCAATTAGATTCGCTCTCCAGAGAATCTCAATGAGTAGTTTCCATGAAATAGAAAGTAGTAGCATGAAAAGGACTTACCAGTCACAAGTAAGCAGGTAAGAGAAAGGCTGTGCAAATACTCAGAGGGTGAAAAAGTCAAGTGAAGAGACAAGTGCTGGAATGATGCTCCTGAGGTCTGCCACCAAGTCAGACCCTCCTCTTCCTGAGGGCCAACTTTATGGTTCCTGCCCACTGAAAGAACTGTTTGTTCATGTTTAGCTGAGTTCCTTTCCATGTGTATGGTTGAAATAAGCTCTTGATCACTTTTTTGGGGGAGGGGTAAACGGACTGATATAACCAACTAGCCAGTTCCTTAATTAATCCCCTCTTCAGCACCCAACGTAGCACCAGATATTCCCAAGGGGGAAAATGACTGACAAAGAAATCTGTAAACCTACAGACAAGCTGCGGCTTTGGCCCGCTGTGCCCT